AAAAATTACTTGAGTAATTCACTATTCAAAAGTAATTGAATCCCTGTGTCTCTCTGATTTATTTTACTTGTTTCCTCCAATGCTTAATAGTTTCTGTTTGTGTAATCACTCTTCTACCATGTTATCAGTGGTTTTAAAAGTTTCTAATTTGTTTGGTTACAACATTTTTCTGCATTTTCAATATTTCTGGTGCTGCCTGTTGTCAGAAAACTACAGTTAGTTCTCTAGCTAGTTGTAGATCTTTCCTATTGCTACGGTAAACCACTAGTATACCCACTGGAAGACTTGCACTTTCTCATTACTTGAGCAAGTTTTCATCAGTCATTTTCCTTAATTCTCAAAAGTGCTTTCCTACGATATTATTTTAGATTTTCCCTTTTCAATTTTTTGGTACACCTTTTTCAATGACTTTTTTTATTTCAAATGTCTGTGAAAATTTGGACTGCTGATTTGCCAAATGACTAATCTAATTTAACTTTTACTTTTTAAACATCCTTTTAACAGCTTTACCCTTTCTAATATGCCAGTTGGGTATAATAAGATTTGAAATAGTAAGTAGAATGACCCCTTTTTTTCTGGATATTACTGCAATTATTTTGAATTAAATTTAAGTAAACACTTCTTCCAATCCAGCACAATAGCATCAGCTGAAATAGAAATTATCTTATCAACAGTATAATATCTCAGATTTAGCAATTTAGTTAAATATTTAAGCTCTGCAAATACCTTATCTTGCATATCTAACCACTGAAACTCCACTTCTTGCAATAACAGTTATAAAACTGGTCATATTTGCTATGAATTTAAATGAATGAGTAATCATCTAAAAAAATCTTTATTTCATTCTGTGGACAATGTATTCCAACAATAGCTTCAGTTTTCCTTCATCAAATTTCATATTATGAGCAATGAGAATGTAGTCCAGATTTATTTCTGTTAATCTTTTAAAATTTGCTACATTTAATTTCAGATTTCTGTAAATTTGTTCAGAATTTGTTTATCATGCTCTATAATGATCTCAGTTTCTTTAAAAAAAATTGCGGTATTCTTTGATAAACTTCAAAACCTGATGAAATATCATATGTCAATATGTTAAAGTATACTTTAGCAAAGTAGATAAAGAAAAGTATTTTCTCAAAATTATCCTTATTCAGATTCTTTCAACTGAACTAATTTGTTCGCTATTTGATTTTTCCACATTCCACTTTTCCACATTTCCTACAGGATTAACCTATTGGTTCTTCAACTTGTGCTACTGTACCCAGCTTTTTCATCTGTTTGAGTTCTCATTATACCTTGGCTTTTAACATTAAGACATGTCTTCCAACCAGCACAAATAACCTATGGATTTCATTTAGTGGACTAGTAACCTGTATAAACAACCCCGTACTTGAAATACAGTTCATTTCTAATATGGTCTTCATACCTAAAATCTCATTTGCAACACAAATAGTTAGCTATAAAGACCAGTGAATTTTTTTTCTCTTTATTTGCAAATAATCTCACATCTTCCCACATACTTAATTCCTGCCCAAAGTAAATAAGCAATCTTGCATTTGATTTTCTCCGAAAGATTTACTTTACAATTTAATTTACAAATTGCATGAACATTTATAAACAAGATGTTGTGTATCTAAATAGTATCTCTTTTAAAGCTTTTACTTTACAATGATTCACGTTCAATTAAACTAATCTGTCCAAATCATTTGAAAAATGAAAGTTGTAGTTCCTGGATACAGTTGCCTTCCTAATAATCATTTTTATAGTCCACTACATACAAATTTCTTTTATTTGCAACTTCTTACCCCTTTTTTGTTTTTTGTTTACTAATTTGCAACTTCTTACTCCTAGTTTTGCACTGAATGCTGTGTAGTGTCTGTAGAGTGTTGGATAAGGCGAAGCTTCTATTCTGTCATTAGAGTATTACATATACTGACTTGAGTTCCTGATTTAAAAATCAGGATAGATACCTGATAAAAAAATTAAAATGATTAAGCTCTCACATTTTTTACAATCTTCTTCCATATTCCAAGCAAGCCCGAATACTACAAATAAATATTACACTGCTGAAAGTATACTTAGCTCCTGTTCTTAACAGTGGCATTTGAAGTTATTTAGCTTTTAGTTTGTTTCATTAACTTAATATCTATAGTATTAAGTTGTTTTTGTATAATAGATCTACTATTTTTTCTGTGCAGAAACCTCTATTGTTTGTTTTTGTTTCCAGAGTTAAGTCTCACTCCCTGGGTAACTTGCTTGTGCTTTACTATCCTGTTTCCGCAAACAAAATTCACAAATTTGTACTAATAACTTTTCAAACAAACACTCCAGGATTGGTTTTTCCCCCCCTTCCTCTCGATGAAACCACATGAAATATGTATGCATTCCATACATAAATGTATGCATTCCATCCTTTTTTAGTCAATAATGTGCTTCAAATGCTAGGATAAAAAATTGCAACTTTTGTTTACCCAATCCCTTGTCAAACTGGAAACACTCAGTGGGTTTTTCCCCAGCAATACATAGAAACGTTTGAACTTTTCAGTCTTCTTATCTGTAACAACCACACCACACAAATCTTTGCTTTCATGTTTTCCGGGTTTCGGCAACACTATCTTCAAATGCCAACTTACCTGGAGGCTTCAGCCAATCCAACCAGTACAGTATATCCCAACTATTTCTGTCTTTGTATTATGCTAAAAAGTCATGTCTGAGTATTATGAAAATATTTCTTTAAATTGGCAGCAAAAACTTATTTAATAACATAGCCTTATTTATTCGTGCTATGAGAATTCTGCTGTTAGCGACACAAGTGTCATCAATGTGCTAAAATAATTTACACATTATGTTTAATATTACTCAAAAGTAACCCAGTCATTATGGAGGGGGAGTGTTTGCTTCATCTAAGCACTTTGAAGAGCTTGGTCAAGGCAAGGCATCCCTAATGTGTAAGTTTCTGCATTGAGTGAATCGGTTTAATACAATTCAGCTTTGTCCCTTTAATTGTTTTTTACGATAGTACATTTAAGCTGAACTCCAAGAAGATCAATTAGTGCATTTATTTCATATAAATTGTTGTCTAGTCATCTGCAAATTACAATGTATTCTGCCCAATGCTAAAGAGGAACCAAAGGCGTTTTTCAGTTTAACTGTCTGCTCTCACTTCTGGATTGTTTTAAACAAATGATTGGCTGCTCCAATATATAAAATGAGAAATAGAATTTCTACTATTTAGTAGGTCTAGAGATTTATGCTATGTTGTTTGCCTTGCAAATAAATAGTTAAGGTTTGTATATTTAAAAAGATTCATACAAAATAAAAATGCACACGAAGTTGTTGACTTATATTAATAGAAAACAAATTGTATGTATTCCTATCCTAGCTAGTATTTAAATCAATACTAACAGCTAGGACCATTAAAAAGCTTGCTCCAGTATACAAGTCAGTTCTTCAGAATAGGTAGATAATGGGTGTCCTTCCTAATACTTTAGGATTAATTGGAACAATGAACCACAGCAATGTTTGGAAGGATAAATTGCATCTTCTCCAATTATTACAATATTACTCCTATATAAGAATTGGAAATGCTGTCTCTTTCAATATTTTTAATAATTTACATATTTGCATATGTAACATGATTGTGTATCTTATACATCTCTATCACATCTGAAGCTATAAAATTGTGTGTGTTAACATTACACAAAAGATCAACTTTCAAACAATAATTCCTCTTTGAATAACTTGTAGCTTAACTGTTGAAGCATCAAAAAGTATGTCGTGTAAGAGAGTTGAAGATGGAGAAAGATACAGTTGTACTCTATTTAAAAATGAGAAGCAAATTCATTTAGAGGTAGCCCTTGAACTTACAACTGTAATTGAAACAGGAATTTCAGTCACTAAGTGATATAGTTGGTAAATGGGTCAACGCGTGATCAGATCTGATTTTATTGCCATTTTTATCATGGTCATTAAGTGAATGACCTGGTTGAGTGAATCCAGGTTCCCCAATTGACTTTGCTTGTTGGAAGCTGGCTGGGAAGATTGCACATTGCAATCATGTGAATGCTTGAGGTTGTGCCCATTTAAATGCAAGCCAATTGCCAAACGCCCAGATTGCAATCACATGACCCAAGGGGATGGTACGTACAGTGGTTGTAAGTTTGAAAATGGGTCATAAGTCACTTTTTCAGGATCACTGTAACTTCAAGCGAAGATTGCATGAAATACTATTAGGCTTTTCCAGATAATATTCTTGTTCTCACAGTCTAGAAACTGTATTTGTCTGGATAAGAATGCGCTGAAGAAAAATTAGGTCTAGTTATATGGGAAAATATTGCTTAAATTAGCAAGCAATAAGTTGAAAACAAAGCTCAGAACAAGAAAGCGTACTACCATCACTTTGATTAAACAATATAAAACAAAATCTCACAATTATGCTGAAATCATGCAGCAATATGGAAGTGTCTGATTACCAGATTTCTTGTAATATTGTTGATCCTCAAGAATGAAGTATTTGCTAATTATTCTTCTACCAAGCATTTTATTTGGATATTAATAGCAATAGCACATAGACTTATATACCGCTTCCCAGTGCTTTACAGCCCTCTCTAAACAGTTTACAGCATCACAGCATATTGTCCCCAACAAGCTGGCTCATCATTTTACCGACCTCAGCTCACGCTGAGCCGGTGAGACTTAAACTGTTTGAACTGCTGGCAGCCAGCAGTCAGCAGAAGTCAGCCTGCAGTACTGCATTCTAACCACTGCATCATCACAACTCTTAAGGTCCTGAATTAATCCCTTGCATCTCCAGTTAAAACTGTTTTTCAGAGTCCTGTATTCCAGATCATGTATAACTGCTTTCAGCAAGGATGCTCAGATGAATTACATGCACATCATTTCCATTTGATGGAAAAGCAATGCATGCAATTGTCCTGGAGTTCTTTGACATCCTGTGTTTTCATTTAAATAGGTTGCTGACTTCTCTCTCTGTCTTCTAGAAATTCCGGGTCGATATGCCAGGATCGAGCAACACATTTATTCCTACTCTCAACGCGATAACCACCAGCCAAGACCTACAGTGGATGGTTCAGCCCACCGTGATAACCTCCATGCCAAGTGCCTACTCTCGCTCGCATCCCTACAGCCATGCATTGCCCAACCTGTCTTCGGTTACTGGACACACAGCCCTACAAAGGCCTGGTGTTATTAAAACCATTGGGACCACCGTGGGCAGGAGGAGAAGAGATGAGCAGGTAGCTCCCCTATTTAAAACAACTAGCGGTATTGAATGTGACATTTCTAAGTCTGTGCTTCAAATGTTGGTGGCAACTGACAATAGATTTAGGCATTACCTGAATCTGGCTTGAAGGAATACTGACTTTAGTATAAGAAAGTCTCCACAAACCATAGCTTAACTAGCTTACATTTTGACGTGAGACCTTGCATTGGTCCCAGGATTTTCCAGTGAAGGAATCTTGAATAAGAAAGCTGGGAAGATTTGTAGTGTTAAGGTAGAAAGTTGACACTAATCAGGACTGACAGCTTTCAGCAAGCTAAATGAGTAGCCCAATCTGATGTAATACCTCTGCCTAAGATTTCATTTGCATTAATGTTTTCATAGAGTCTCCTTCAGTGATAGTTTCACTGGAACATGTGGATTCCAGAAGCATTGGAAAGGTTCACTATCTCATTTTCATTGCAAGTAAATTGTTGGTTGTAACTCACGTGTAAGGCTTAAGATAATACAGAATGCCATTTTTTGTTGTCTGGTGGGCATCTACACAGTAACTTCTCAAGTAAAGGGAATCCAAGGCAGCAGCCCTGTATTTCTCTCTAATGGGTAGTTCCATCCTAAAAACATAAGGACTGTTCCCCTGGAAATGCCCAGATCATGCCAAGCAGTCCTTCCCACAGTAGCCAACTGTATTCCTCTGGATAATCCATAACTAGGCAAGAGGTAATAGCAATCTCCTGCTCTTCCTGAGCAACTAATTTAGAGATAAATACATATCTGAAGTTGAGGGTAACACATTACTCATTATACTATGGCATAATGTGGTTTCTATGCCTCTGGTTTAGTGTGTTGTGCAAACCCACCCATTATAGCATAAGGATATGTACAGAAACCAGGCCGCAATGGCAAATTTAAACAATGTTTAAACTAAGGCCAGGCTTAGCATGATGGGTGAGTGCTCTTCTTACTATTACAGCTAGTCATTATCAAGAGCCAATGTGGTACAGCGACAAAGTCGCTGGACTAGACGTAAAGCAATTCATGTTGTAGTCAACTCTCAGCCACAGAAGCTTATGTACTTACTTTCAGCCAGTTACTCCCTCTGAGACCAGCCTATTTCATAAACAATCTGTTGTGGGAAAAATAGGAGAAAACACTGTATCCCCTTGAGTTCTCGAATGAAAAGTAAGACAGAAATCAAATAAACAAACAGTGGTATTCTCCTTCATTGGTATACTCCCATTTTAAAGCCATTAAGGTTCAGGATCATTGTGATTTCTTTTGATTTTTGAATTCACACAATTCTCAGTACAGTTGATGGCTATGAGTGCTGCAGTTCAAAGAATCTGGAACACGAGTAGATCAGTTGGAGCATCACAATCAAAGCCCTGCCCCTTTGATTGCAACACTGTATCCATCTTCATATCTTGATTTCTCCTGTCACCACCGTTGATCTGCAGTGGAACTGGCTGGACTTGACTTTGGCCATTCAGGCATAAGGAGAAGGATCAGAGAGTTAACAACGTAGCTGAGAATAGGCTAAAACCCAGTCCCCTGGGCATGGGTGCCATTCAAGTCTTTTGCACTGGGGTCAGGTTTCTTATTTCCAGTTTGTTGTTAGACCCAAAGAAATTGGTAGAATTAGATGATTGACTAGAATAAGAAAACTTTTGGGTGGCTGAATTCCTTTTTCATTGTAACAGATGGCTAACTATGGTTAGGATACTGAAGTGGTTTTAAGATAACTGTTATCTCTACCACATGTACAGGTGGGAGGAGAGGGCAGAGAAGTTACTAGAAATCTGAGTTTATCTACAGTCCCTCCAAAAGCATTAATTCTCTTCTCTAGGCTGTGTATGGGCATAGTGAAACACTCCATGCCCTCCATGACATTTATCTCCTATTGCTTAAGGGCTGCCTGATGATGCAGGAAATGTAGGGTCTTATCTTAAAAAGTCAGAGGTAAGAGAGGAAAGAATGGAAAGGCAGCTCTTTTGATTTGATTAGGGTCATTCCAGTTTGTCCAGCCTCCTGGACCTTAGTTTCTGACCTTCCAGTTAATGACTGTTGTCCCAGGAAAAGAAGCGCACAGATTTTTTTTCCTAAGAAAGACAAACTTGCAACATCTTCCTATATTCTTACTTCACAAACCACCCACATTGCAAAACTACCGAGAGACTTCTATCTTTGCATTTAGCCTTAATTGCAGATTCATTGTTTTCTTGCTCAATCTTCCTGTGGTTTCTCCACTCCTGTGCTCTTCCCCTACCTTGCTATCACTTTTTCTTTCTCCTCAGTGGCTGGCTCCAGTGCTGTATTATATCAAAGCCCTGATAATATCTTGATGTGAGAAAGAATGTTTTCTCAGAGACCCTAGATCCATATGAGGGAGCCTCAGCTCTATTGCATTATTCAGCTAGTAACATGATAGTTTTTGAAGCAACTTGGCTTATCTTCACCACTCTTCAGGCCCTAATTGCTATCACCTTCCACACTAGTATAGTGTTTGAGGTTAAGAGGTTGGACAAGAACTGGGGAAGACCCAGGTTCAAGTTCACCTTGAGTCATGGAAGTTCACTGGGTGACTTTGGGCCAATCACACATTCTCAGCTCAAATCACCTTACAGAATGGTGGTTGTGGGGAAAATGGAGGAGGAAAGATTGTGGATACATTGCCTTGAGCTCCTAAAGGGAAAGCAGAATATAAATCAGTTAAACAATAAATGAAAAGTGGAAATTAAACCATGGGTTCATCAGTTGGGTCACATTTCTTATTGATTCATTGCACAAACTACCAGCTTGAACGAATGTTTTGTTCATTTGTTTATCTACAGTTATCACCTGAAGAAGAAGAGAAGCGAAGAATTCGAAGAGAAAGGAACAAACTAGCAGCAGCGAAATGCCGTAACAGGCGCCGAGAGCTGACTGAGAAACTCCAGGCAGTATGTATTTTGCATAAATTTCCTCCTTTCTTGTTATGGCCTTTATTTTTGGTAAGATGAAATGAAGTCTTGTTGAATTGAGCTCAATACCCGGTGACTTCATGTTGTCATTTTCTTGAAAATAATATGGATGTAATTTCCCATTGATGTCTTTTGTTTTTGACTTTCCATTCTAACCTGTAGTCTGGGATTTCTGAATAGCCTCCTTACCCAAGTGCTAAAATAGGCCTGTCTCTGTCCATGAAGCCAGATGACTTTGTAAATAGGGCATATAATATTCTGATTTTGTGGCTGCATGATACAAGATGATCTAATATCGTATTGATTTTTGTTGGGTATCAGGACATTTCTAAAACTCTGAAGACTTGCTGAACCACTGCTGATGTTGAGAGCTGCCCCATGGAGATTCTTGCCATGGATGGGTGGTTTTGGGTACATGGTGGGAAATTTTTTTTGATAGGGAGAATTTTTTTTGAAGAGCTAAACAGTTCTTCAAAAATTACATATCTGATACCTTTATTAAGGAATAGGGAAAGTGCTGGGAATTGGTTAACAAAAGAAGAGTAAAGTAATAAAGCTGAATATGTATGAATAGTGAGCTACCAACTTTTACTCATTCTGCTGGTGAAGTAAACACTTGAAGGTGTTAAAAAATCACCCAAAATACAGAAGAAGCAAATGCCTATACAATATTTGTTTCTGCTTTTCTTCATGACCAGCAAAAGAACTACAATTATCTCAAACCTGTTTGGATAACTATCTTTTTGGAGATCATATTTTTGCTGTAAGAATGCATTTATGCTCAGTTACAGGTAAATCATGATTGCACCTTTACTTGTAAAGGCAAATGAGGGCATTAATCTTGCAATCATTCCAGTTTTTTAATCTGTTAAATGATTCAAATTTATCAAAGCAGCCAGTAGGTGTACATGGACAACATCCAGTCCTTGATAGATTCTTATGGTGACAAGTAAATTTTGGGAAGGAGCTTAAATTTTGAGCCTGAATATCAGTGTAGTGAATTTTTGTCAGAAAAGGTTTTGTGTTTTGGGTGTTTCAAGCCTGCTTTCAGATCTCTAGTCACCCTTTAAATGTCCAGCCATCAGTCCTTAGGCCAGGAGTCTCCAAACTTGGCAACTTTAAGACTTGTGGACTTCAACTCCCAGAATTGCCCAGCCAGCATGACTAGCTGAGGAATTCTGGGAGTTGAAGTCCACAAATCTTAAAGTTGCCAAGTTTGGAGACCTCTGCCTTAGGCAGTTAACAGAATCACTCAGAGGACCTAGTCTATCCCCCTTACAGCTGCCAATACATATTCTGCTACAGTTGGTTAAAGTGAAGTGAAGCCTCCTTATCTTGCAACCCCTTCTTGGAATGCTAATTGCTGTTCTTGCTGACTTTCTCTTTTATCTGGGATCTACAGGAAACAGAGGAGCTGGAGGAGGAGAAATCAGTGCTGCAAAAGGAGATTGCTGAACTAGAGAAGGAGAAGGAGAAGCTGAAATTCATGTTAATGGCTCACAGCCCCATGTGCAAGATCAGCCCCGAGGGGCATCGAACCCCTCCACCTCATAACCTCCAGGCCCTGAGGACTGGAATGAGTGGTCCTGTGGTGGTGAAACAAGAGCCTATGGAGGAAGAGATCCCCTCTTCCTCTTCAGATCCCGAAAAAGGGCAAAGATCTGTCATTAAGCCCATCAGCATTGTTGGGGGGTTTTATGGAGAAGAGCCACTCAACACACCTATTGTAGTGACTTCGACTCCTGCTGTTACCCCTGGAACATCCAACTTGGTCTTCACCTATCCCAGTGTGCTGGACCAGGATTCACCACTCTCCCCCTCAGAATCCTGTTCCAAAGCTCACCGGAGGAGCAGCAGCAGCGGGGATCAGTCATCTGATTCCTTGAACTCTCCAACTCTACTGGCGCTGTAACCCTTTAGCCACCACTCCACCCAGTTACTGTTGTGGGGGGGGAACCCCCACCTCAAGACCAGAGACAGCACAATGGCATTCGAGCACAAGGCCAACAAGAGCCAGGAAAGGAAATGATGTTGCTCCAGATACTTCCTTAGACAGGAAGACTAGAACAAATGAAAGCTGTATCAGTCTGGAGTTGGTAAGCAGCAGTCACAATCCCAGGACCCAACGATGAGGGGTTTTCCCTCACTCACCAATGACTGCAGTGGATGTGACTGTCCATAAATTGCTAGCCATTTTCCTGTTAGGTTGATGAATGGACCGTCTGACCTGGCTCCTTCTCCTGCGCTAAAGTAGTACATTCCAGTTAGTTGATCTCATTTGGGCCTTAACATTTTCTTGATTTTTGTTGGATACCATGACATTTCGAAAACTCTAAAGGCTTGCTGAACCACTGCTGATATTGAGAGCTGCCTCCTGGGAAATTTTTGCCATATTTGGGTGGCTTTTGGCACATGGTGGAAGTTTTTGGGGAGAAGGGAAATTTATTACAGGTCCAAATGGTTCTTCAAAAGTTACACATCCAGTGTCTTCATTAGGGAATGGGGAAAATGATGGGGAAACTGGTTAACAAAAAGACAAGAGTCTCCTTGAAGACAATAGGGAACAGTGCACTGTTTGTGTCTACAAAGGCTGTATCTGCAACATACCTTCGTCAGTGGGCCAGGAGTGGTGCCAAGGGAGCTGGGGAAATGCCAGAGTGGGTTTCCACTAAGCCTTTATTTCTGGCATGATGTCTTCTGTAATTAGTGTTTGTCAAATCTGTTGCAGGACCCTGTGTTTTCTTTCCTTTTGGCTGCCAGCCACCTTGGGTGTGATGCAGCTTCCTCTGAAGTATGCCTGAATCACCTGCTGGTGCTGTTTCTCAAACAGAGCTACCAGCTTCCAGGTTGCAGGCGGTTGCCCTTGCCCAGTGCTGCCATTCTTCTTGTGGCTGATCAGGGAAGGGGATTAATTTGAGGGAGAATGTGCAAGAAGCTCCCTGGAAGAAATCCCCACCCCACCCCTTTGGCTAAATTTCAGTCATCGGGACCTGGCCAGGGTTATGTGTATTGCCATCTGATGGTGTCAGGCCAAATCAGTCCTTTTCCTAGTCCTAGAGACAACTGAAGAAAAATGGATTCTGCACTTTGCCTCCCGCTGCGCTTGGTTTCCAACTCTTAACTACATACGACTGATAAAAAACAAAATCTGTGCTCACTACTGAAAAAGGCAGCATGTTTCACTTATGTACACCCCCTGTAGTGCCAAGCATTAATGCAACTGTACATAAAGAATGTGCCGATTTTAGCAGGGATACCCACAGATAACTTGGAGAGAGGTTTGTTATATCTTCATCTGGAAGTAGACAGTTTTACTCTAAAACTTGTCCTTTACAAAATACATGAGATAACTCAAGTTGATGGTAAACATATTAACGACTGGGTCTGCTTTCATTTTCTTTTATGGAATATGTGGACGAGCTAGGCAAGGAAGCTGATAATTTTTTTACCCCCTTGTGCTCTTCAAGCCATGTTAAGTCCGGCGGTGGGCATCTTTGCCTCTCTTCAAGATTTGCCTTAACAGCTGGGAAACTGCAGTCTTGATTCGGAAGTGTTTTTTTATTGATATCAGTGATCACATTCCTGTTTATTTTTAATGTGTCTGGGTCACAGCCATAGTTAGGAATATAATGCTAGGTTATTTGATCAGAGTTTCTAATTAATGAAGTTTTTAGAATGATCTAGATCAGGGGTGTCAAACTCACATTGTCACAGCGGCATTACGTGATGTATCGGGACTTTCCCCCCCTTCACTAAACTGGGCATAGGCGTGGTCAGACTGTGATGCATCTGGCCTGCAGGCCGAGAGTTTGACAACTCTGATCTAGATTATGGGCTTTCCCCCCCCCTAATTAGAGAAGTCAGATTTGGTGACCTGAATGAATTCTAGGGAATTTTGAGTACTGTAAAGGTAGCATTTGATTCAAGTGGAGGTCAGTTCCTGGTGATTTTGTGGACATGTTTTTATCATTGTTTGGACAATGATGGAGGCTTGCTTTCTTCAACAATATTTTTAAACTCCAGTCTAATCTGCAATCTGGGATTCCCTAGAGGTCTCCCAAATATTGATTAGATCCAAAACAAACTCCACTTAGCTTCTAAACCCAGAAATGATGAAGCTTCATTATCTATTTTTGCCTATGCTGGCCATAGGAGGAAAAAAATCTAGATTATTTCTGGCTACTGGTAGTATATTTGACTGCTAAACATGTCCTAGACATTACTTAACACTATAAAGTTTATATTTACAGCAATAAAAGCCAAACATTTGTTTTACAGAGAAGAAAGAGTGTACAAACTGATTTTTCTAGCTGTTATCTCCTATAGTAGATTCTGTTTATTGAAATAATTTAAACCAGCTGACCCAATTTATGCTCAATTTATGTGCAATGCCATAGTCTGAACCAAAATTCATGTGGTGAACAAGTCTTTCTGTAAACATGTTGAGCTGTATCATGTTGAGGAAGACTGGTGTAAAACCACACTAAAAAGTTGTCTAGAACTGCTTTTATATGCACATGATAAGTATGTTGTATGGCTGAAGATTCAGACTCGAGCATCTCATGTTTGGTATTTTAAGGAAGATTCTGATCTTAATGGGAGCATCTTGTCACTAGAGTCAAAAGGAACTACTCAATATACTTATATCAGAAGTAAGGGACCAATGCTTCTCTGCCTTAGTGTTTCAGAAATAAAATGGCCACAATTCATTTAGCACAAATTCCATCTTCTTAGGAATTATTGGAAAAACTAAAGGGTAAATAAAATTAAATAATTTGACCTGCAATTTTGGAAGTTAAATGATTATTGGCAGAAGACGACAATATTCTGTCAAAATTTCCCATTAATGTGCCAGTAGCAGGGTTAAGTATTCAGTTCCACGTTGAATCTATGACCTTGCCATCATTCCACAGATAAACTTGCTTTTCAATATGTGCTTTTCAAGAAGTGTTGCTCCAGAAAACTGGGAGAATTGAAGAAAGTACCTGAGTAGTGATCCTTTTGTTCTAATTCCATGAAGCAGGACATGATGATGCTGAGCTCAATCAGATAGAAAATAGAAAATTGCTTCAAACTTGGCTGAAGGAATAGCAATCTTAAGGGATGCTTCTAGATATCTAGACTTCTATAATTGGTTCTGATTGTTGACTCAGATCTCTCTAGGTAATTTTAGCTTGCTTCTCATTTCATTTTTATTCCATGGGTTTGTGTATCCCAGTTGGATGATGGTTCCTGGAATCTAGCAAAAGTATATTTGTATTTGTCTTCATCCAGTCTTATTACTTCAAGCAGGTTAAGGCCATTATGCTCTTCCAGTAAGTGGTGTCTTTGTGGTTAATACTTTTTGGTCAACCTTGTACAATTGGTTCATTAATGTGTTCAGATTGAGCACTGCCATATTTTGGGTAGTTGAATCCAGCTTTTATTCTAGTTTTGGCTTTTTTTTAGCATCTTTTTAAATATGCACATTTATACCCTTGAAATTGCATATTTGCATTTTCCCTTCTGCCTCACAGGTGTAAATGCTGTAAAATGTTTGCATGGCACAAACTCTTCTGTTTTGGCTTTTTCTTCCACAAGCTTCTGGTCTATAGAACAATTGGCAGAGACCCATGTTTTACAATTGTCCCAATTCGCTGAAGGAGACCTAGTAGTAGGAATTATTTAGCCTCATGAGAGCAATATAGGATGGCATCTTACACATGGCTCATGGTTATAACTAACATCTCAGATCTTGTTTTCTGTGGTACAGTTCTATGAGTAACACGCTTGTGCGTGAAGTCTTAATAACAGCTTTTATGCAATAAAGCAAACTTAAGAAGTTTTGTAGAATACGTTGTATCCAAATTTTTTACAATCTACAGGATTTATACCAAACTCTGATCTGGCAATGTTTTGCCCAGCTACTTTAGGACTTATATGCATGCCTTGATGGAAAGCAATTCCTGTTCTTGCAGTATTTTGGAGAAAACAGCATCTTTTCCAGAGAAAAAGTCTACTTGTCTCCCAACACTAATGCATTTTTCTCTCTCTCTTTAAATTCCTGCTTCCTACCCATTCTTAGTTCTAATGTTTATACTTGACTTTTTTATTTCCATTAGAACACAATCCAGCAAACTCTTTGCTTTGCAGCTTCTGTTAATTTCAACCTGTTTTCACCTGATGACACAGCTAGGGGTGGTGTAGTCACTGGGTTTGATGAATTTTGCTTATTAAACCAGCTGAGTACTTGTGATATAACAGGATCTGAGGTCATCATATCAGTATCAATGGATTTAAAAATATCCTTATTGTTTTATTTAATTGATCCACTAAGTTCACTTGAACTTAGCAGTATGCTTCTTTTGTATTCCAATCATAATAACACTCATTATTTCTTATTTATTGGCAAGCAAACATTTTTTGTGTCGGCTACAGTGAATCTGCTCACCATTAATTAAACAAATTGTTCCTATTTTTTATGCCAAAATGAAATTAATCAGAGAGGGTCAAAACTAAAAGAGAATGCAAGTGATAGCATATCTTTCTTGGTTGTTTTTTAACATAGACTTATAATGTTTACATCTTTTTCTTTGCCACAGATCTGGATTTGAAAAATATTTTTTCCCTACTGATTTTTAAAATCCTGATTTTTTTTTCTTTTTCAAATAAAAATAGTTAGACATGGTAAGAGTTAATAATTTCTCCCCTTCCCTTTGTATAATTTTTCAATGAATTGTCTTGGTGCTTCATTTTGGTTCTCATTGTTGTTCTGTTCAAATCTGTATGAATATCTGTTCTGTTTAGAAATGGTTTACTAGTCTCAATTTCATGTTTTTTTCATTCATGAGAATTATTATTTTCGGGGGGGTGGGTGGGAAAGAATGAGGTGTTCATTAAGCCATAAGTATCTATCTGTGCAATAAACACTAGGCAAGTGCTTTCAGAAAAGGTTGGTATCTCAGTCATAATGCGCTTCGCAGGCAAAAGTTTCCAGGGCTTTTCTAAGTAGGACTGCCTCAACTGCTGAATGAAACAGACTTGATAACTCACTTTCTGTTTCTTCCAAAAAACCAATGGTTCCTATGATCATATTCAGCATTCCATTTAGGTGGCATTTTTGCATATCAGTATAATCCTAGGGTGTGTTTTATTCCAATTCATTAAAAATCCATTCTGCAGGCAAAAAGATCTAAAATGGGCAAGTAGAATATGATTTAATTCCCACAGAAAGAGTAAAAATGGTGCTCTTTCATTACATCCATCGGTTTGCATGAATTGGGTTTGTTTTTTTTAAATTGACAACAAAGAATGTTGATGTGATTCCATATCCAGGCTGATGGAATAGATTGTCTAACGCTGTTCTTGGCGTACACAAATGGAAAGAATATCGTAGCAAAAAAAAAAGGGGGGGGGTGGAGGGGAATCTGCAAGAACACCAAATTGTTCATGTATATGCAGATTTTCTAATTATAGAAAACAAAGCCAGAAGAACTGAAGAAAGTAAGTGTTTTTATGTCTTTCTCTGCAAATCTCATGAGATTAACAAGGACTATAAAGATTAGGAGATTTTTTTGGCGGGGGGAGAAGCTCCAAACTTACCTATGTAAGGGGGAGAGGGAATTCTCATATAAAAATGTACAGAGGAATGGTTTCTAAAAATGAACTTTCAGTCTTCTTCAAATTATAAGATAGAACAAGAGCATTCTCTCTCAGTAAAAGACTGTTTTCCTGTCCTAAAATGGTTCTGTTTCTTTCCCACTCTTGAATTTTAATACTGTTCTGATTCTTTTGTGGCTGTTTTGATGTAGGAAAACCAGAATTATGTGTTGAAAATAGACATTTGGTCTGTCTCAGTGAGCAGATAAATGTTGTGCATGTGTATAGATTCTACTGTGTCGTCCCATTAAATATTGGTAAGAAAAAGTGCATCTTCATTAGCACAGTAAATTGATGGTATAAAACGAAAGAATGCTTTAGGATCAAAGGGCCTGATTCTCTCTTTATTTGACTGTGATCGTAAATGCATTCATTCACCGTAGATGTACGTACACCAGTGTTAAAATCAGTAGAGGAAATTGTTTCGGTGATTTTATTTTTCCCCATCATATATACAAATCCATAGGGATCTTTATTTTTTTCTTTCCACACATTCAAAGTTTTGCATTTCCTTTTCCCCAACATGGGGTGAAATGAGTTTGGATAGGAGTGATTTAAATTGGGAGCCCTTTTCTGAATGTCTGTGTAAAAGATCTCTCATTGGTAGAGAAGCTTTCCAGGGAGGTCATCTTATTCCTTTTCTTGTAATGCAGGCCTACAATATTTGCACTAAAATTAACAAAAATAATGGTATGGAGGTGGTTTAAAGAAAGGTTGCTGCTATGAAAGAAAGAACTTAAAAGAATGGCCATGCTTTTACAGATTTTAATGTACCATTTTGTAAAATGAAAGCGGTCTAGATGGAAAAGAATGAAGGTTTTATATGTATGTGTGTGTATAAAATTATAATTATTATTTTTTACTTTCTCTTACTGTTCATTTCCACATCCCCCTTGATTCTATTCTGTGTTCTTTCATTGCTACTTTTGTGATTGTGTTCATTAACCCCATCCCCAAGTTTAAACACTTGTAAATGATGCTTTCATGGCACTGCGGACACCTTTTTTTGTTTGTACAGTGAGATCTAACTGGAGTTCTTCTCTCTCTTCAGTTGAATTCATTAAAAGAAATTATTTGTTATGACCAACTGAATGTTTACATTTTCCTTCTCTCAAGAATGGCGAACGTTGCCAGTTGCTTCTTGGCGTGATGATTCAGAGGGAAGCTTTCATCAAAAGGAGTCTCTAAAATTCAAGACTTGGGATGATTTGGGAGGTGCTAAGGACACATGCTGTTATGTATGAAGACTTCTGACCAATATCTCTCCCTTTCTGTGCAGAACAAAGGAGAGTATTTTTTTAAAAAAGCTACTGGCCTCATAATAGTTATCTGCATAATGGAATCCCCACAATCATAAATGTGGCTCATGGTGAAAATTTTGGGTGCTCTTTACAAGTCTGTTTGAATATCCAACATTCTCTCCTAAATAGACAACCTTGCATTTTTTGAACGGCTGTGCAGGAATGAGACAAGGAACAAGGGTCCATTTTCTTACCAAAAAAAGCAAGGGACTTTTTTCTGCTGCACAGTTTTTAAAGATAATAGAATCAAGGCCAAAAATGATAGTTCCTCTCAATTCCAGGATTGAACACTTAAGTTCATGCACATTCATACATACACACATCCATGACATTTGGAAGAATGCAGGATTATTTTTTAAAAAAGCTTGGACAGCTGGGAATAAAGTTGTCACCTTACACAAATCATTTCTGTGACTCCTGCAGAATTTTTTTTTGCAGAAATATGGTTTATTTTTAGAGCATAGAGACAATGTACTGCTTCATTCTAGATGAAGCACATTTGCTGAAATCCTTTCTCTGCAGTTTTTAAAGATTATCTGAGTAGATGGATGCCATATGAGATTTTTAAAAAGTCAATGGATGACTTGTAGGATCCAGTATGTACATTTCCACAACATTCCTTCAGAGGTTACTGCTGTGTCTAACGGTTGGAAGCTGCAAGATTGTCGGTGTACAGTATTGTATATAGAAAATCTAACAATATGGCAATAACATTTCTTACTCTAAAAAGTGTTTTTATCTTTCCTTTTCGTCCCCTCCTGCCCTCCCCAACAGTTATCTAATTGTCATTTGGGGAGGAAAAATGAAGGCCAGCCATAGCCCGATGAGCAGCATTGCAGTAATTATTTTCATCCATTAGCATTCTTCATGACAATTAAGCAAAGCTGGTAGCATTGCCAGGTATCCAGCCCAATCTCCTTGTGGCTTTAAGAAAGCTTAGATGTTATGGCCCTTTCCCCACTTCCTAACTATTGTGAATGAATAGAGGGGGTAAGGCTAACTAACTCAATTTAACTTTAGCTTAATTTTGTTGGATCCTTTATGTCTTCATCTGAACCTGGTGGTAGTTGGTGATAGTGGGTACCAGCAGGGGTGGGATTCGGGTGAACCCTTAGCTCCGAAGATCAGCTGGGAGTGAACCGATTCGCTATGACGATCATGTGGGCCCGCCCGCCTGCCCCTTCATTGTACTGACCTTTATCGTCCCAGCTGATCAGCGCGGAAGAGCAGATTGCCGCTCCTCAGCTGTGTTACTCCCCCAAAGTAACATACAGGTAAGGATTTTTGCATTGCTGTTCACGCGCTCGCAAAGCGCGCGATCACCAAACCGGTTGTTATACCGGCAGCACCCCATCCCTGGGTACCAGCAGATGAATGAAAAGCCCATCAGCATTACCGTGTTAAGGGCCCTGTGGAGAAATGAAATTACATCTTTCCAAATCCTGTTTATTCAAAGGAAAGCTTGGAGCCTGTGTTGACAATGGCTTGGGCCCTGGTAATGACTCTCGGGGAAACTCACTTTTGATACTAAGTGCTGCCGCTGTGCCTGGTAAATGACATTAGAAACAGGAGCAGCAGGCCACAGCAACATTGTTGCTGCTAAAGTTTTAAAACGCAATAAGCACTTTGGTCCTATTAAAAATGCTTCTCAAAACTCCCTCAGAGGATGTCCTGGTGCCTTGTACATGCCGTATTCTGTTCCAGCCTCATTGCAGATAAAGCATAAATTGATGCCATTTCTAGTCCAATTGTTTTTGACCATTTTGGTAATACAGGAAACAAAACTTTCTATATACTTAGTGAATTGCTTGATACCAAATCGAGCAAGCTATTAATGATGCCTGGCAGAAGGATGCGCAACAACGTTTACCTGCTCTTTTTAAAAAACAACAGTGATGTTAATACAGTGAAAGAAATCACCAAACTTAGTGATACATCCCTTGCCAAATGCAGCATTCTCAAAGGATGTATTGGTTTGATTTGGGACACCTTTAAGTGCAATCAAAGTTTTATCCTGAGTATGTCCATTCTAGGCAAGCTAGAAACTATTGTTCATATATACCAACTAGGAGACATGTAATTTATAGCCCCTTGGAATTTACGGAATAAACATTCTTAGTTATTCCTGGATTCACTGATGTATACTAAAATGTATACTTAGAAATCATATTTGTTCACAATGTCCTTTTCAAGTAGTATCAAATTATTTTTCTTTAAAATTTATAAAATTTATCTGCACAATTCCTCCCTAAGTTGTTTTTCAGCTTCAACACACAGCCTCGCATCTCGGCACAGTTGCTATAATTTGAATCTGAAGGTTGAAATTATGTGGCAGTACAAACTTCATGTTGAGTTCAACGTCCTTTCTCTGGGAAACAGTTAATCCACCACATTTTTCCTTCTCACATGAATTTTGCTATTTTGGTGCTTGCTTTTCTTCCTCTTGTTAAAACCCCAAATAAATATGATAATAGCTTTCTCTTTAGCAGTTTGCTTTTGGAAACTGTTTATATTTATACTATTAATATGAGATGTCCACATTAAGGATAAAATGATTCTATAGTTCCTGTTTGATGATTTTCAGTGTCTAGAACTAACTAAGAATTTGATGAAAAAACATCTGAATATCTTTTAAACTATTTACACAAAACCTAATTTTTTTAAAGAGACTTGTAACTTAAAACCTGGTATAGAAGATAAAAATAGGGCCAACCAAACTGTATCATGCACCCTACAACATTTCAAGATGTTTTGAATTTTAGGGTTTAGGGTTTTTTTTTCTTAAAAGATGAATATTTAGTATACATTTTTAAAAGTTTTTAAAAACCAACACATTAGACCAATATTTTTTATGAAGATCTTATTACTTTATTTGTACAATTGAATGTTTGAATAATTCCTTGGATGATGTCAGCTCCTGCTTGTGTGTTGAAGCTTCTCAATTATTATATCTAACATGTTACTGTAATTAATTGTCCCAGTTAGAAAGGCTTGATATAATTCTAATATAACTAGTAAAAATGGTCTTCATTTTGGTGAGATGGAATAATTGTGGGCTATTTCCCAATCATTTTACTAAATATTAAAAATTCAGTAAACGGTTAAGACAATATCTCAAAATTTGCTTTCAACACCTGTACAATTTATCACACCAATTGGTTATTAGTGAATCAAATATTTGAGATCATTTTGAACATAGCTTGGCAATGTTCAGCAGTTCACTGTGTCAGCTGCTCCCTCAATTAACTAGTTTACCCCTTGCAAAGGATGACAAGGATTAGGTGATTTCTTAGTCTCCCTTTAAAGGACACCTGGAAGCAATCAAGGTGCTCGCTACTGCAGTTGGAGTCAGAAACTCAGCCTCCATGTTCTTTCTGCCCATTTGCCATAATTCAAACAGTTTAAAGAGAGAGAGAGAGAGAGATGGAATGTCTTGAAAGCAAACAATTTTTCAGGGCTTTTCCAGCCTGATGTTTCTCTTTTGGGAGTAAGAAGAGAGCTAATAACTCTGTTTATACAACACAGTTGTTCAACAAATTGGGAAAGAGTTTCAGGGTCAGCACTATTTAGGCTCTGAGATATCGAATAAGTATTGTGGGAAAATGCACGTAAGGCATGCCAAAATCTCTCAGTTTCTGGTTCTTTAGCTGTTGGTAACTAAAACTAATCTATGTCAAGTCACTGGCATTAACTGGCTGGTTTATGGTGCTTATTCACTAATGCCCTGCTCCAGTTAAGACTGTCCTATAAACAAGCCATGGTCAACATTAGTAATTGCTACAAAACATAACATAGGGACAACATTCTAGAGCACAGAGTTTAAAAAGGAAAAAAAAACAAAGGAGGTGCTTGTCAGCAGGATCACTCCAGCTATAGTTTTCACTCTTGAAAATAGGGCAACAGCCATGGAAGGTCCACACCCATTTGGCCTGATTTCCTGTTTTGAAAGGTACCCAAGTCTCCTCCCTCAAAGTGGATATATTAAAAAACCTATAATAGATGCCTTCTCTCTCTTGCAATCCTTTCATAATAAATTAGAGTAAATTAATGTGGAAACACAATATAGAATGATCATTTCTTTTGCTCAGTTATGAGTGTAATATATATAGCTATGAAAATACATATGTGTGTGTGTGTATTTACTGAATATCAGCATACACACACACACACACACACACACAGAGAGAGAGAGAGAGAGAGAGAGAGAGAGAGAGAGAGATTCAGTAGGTGCAGTAGCTCAGCAGGTAGTTCTTGACTTATGACCACAATTGAGTCCAAACTTCTGTTGCTAAGCGAGACAGTTGTTAAGTGAGTTTTACAAACTTGCTTGCCACAGTTATTAAGTGAATTACACCAATTGTTAAGTTAGTGAAACGGTTAAGTAAATCTGCTCCCCGCCATTAACTTTGGTTGTCAGATGGTTGCAAAAGGTGATCACGACCCCAGGACTCTGCGACCTTCAAAAATAAATGTCGGTTGCCAAACACCCAAATTTTGATCATGTGACCCACATGTCCCTGTGACTTTGAAGGTCATTAAAGGAATAGTTGTAAGTCAAGGACTGCCTGTATGTTATCTGGATGAAGTCACCAGGCTATACTCAAGGATGGCTACCATTTGGCTCTACCTCTCTGTAGGACTGGCAGAAATACCTTGATTAAAT